GTACCGTTTTTCTCTTTTGCACACCAACCATCACCTCTGTTACCATGGAGTCGACCGTAAGCCGGTTGGTAATTATCGTCATCACGGTAAAAAGACGAAGCTGTCATTTGATCGTCAGGGATTACATTTTGACTGGAAACGCCAACAGCGTTGTGGAGACATTTGTCGAGGTCTAGATGGAGGAGAATTTATTGCTAAGAAGGACAGGAATTGCCTTATCTTTTGTTCGCTTATGATTAAAATGTCTGCGTCGGATCAGCAAAAGATGGCTTCACTGAAAGTGTTGTCCCTCTTTACCATCCTAGCTCTAACTCGAAGGTTCCAACCTGTTTTCGAACATTTACGAATTTTAACGCTTCCCAGTCTTTGTTTCGCTCTTCACCCCAAATCTCGTGCCTGAGTACGAACATGGCGGGCACAACATATTAGAAACGAGACCATTTCTTAATTACCAGTCGTGAATAGGATCAGTGAAGAGATTCGAAGGCGAAGATGGAAGTGGACTGGACACGTACTTAGAATGGAGAGGAACAATGACTGCATGCATGGTGGCGATGGAGTTGCAGGTTGAAAAAAAAAATGAAATAAAATAAAATAAAATAAAGAGGGGGGGCCAAAGACCACATGGAGAAGGATAGTGGAAAAGGAGCGCAGACAGAAGGTTGGGCCAGCTAGGCAGAAGCTAGAGCGAGGCACAAGCCAGGGTTGGTTGAAGAACGAAACTTGCCACCTAAAGCGCCTATTGGCGTGGAGAAAACCAAATGATAATAATAATAATAATAATAATGATAATAATAATGATAATAATAATAATAATAATAATAATAATAATAACGGTTTAATGATGACTTTTCTACTGAGTAGCTCTACATTCATCATATGCTAAGAAGGTTGCTAGTCAACTAACTTTACTCGTCCTTTATTTAAAAGTATTAAAGTAAAACGAAATAATACCTTCAGGAATGAGCCAATGTTAGTACATACTTACCAGTGCATACACGCAAAGAACACCGACCTATGTTAGGTGGTTTGTAAGCATAAAACGCGCCGCAGTTGCGAATGAATATTCCATACTGAAATATACATTCATCTCCGTTAAGATGGTAACAGAGTTGACGTTCAACAATCCCATCATTCACAGCAGGATGGCCACCACGGATCCATCCCGGTGCATTGGCTCCGCAATGGTGTATGGGTGGTGGGTATTCAGGAATAACGGTTCCGCCACTTCCTTTAAAGCGAATCCAATATTCACCGAAAAGGTCGCTCATAGAGTCATCACAGCCGCCGCCTGCACCATTTGAAACAGATCGGGTGGGATCGTTTATAACTTTGTAGCTGGTGCATTCTGTAATTAAGAAAAAAAGGTTCTGTCTTGAGATTTATCGTTCCAAAATTCACAATTAACCGATCAGAAGTCGTACCCACCGTCCTGATATCATACCTTAACCGGCATATGACTAGCGTGGAAACCCCTAAATGTGCAAGTTTATGTGTCGCTCCGTTAATTTTTTAAATATTTTTTACCTTTGGCATATTTTTTTACAGAGAAATTATGACCCTAAAATTCTTCAAATCATTTTTAAAATGCTTTTACTCCTATTTAAAACTCGACTAGAAGAAGTTACATGTATCATCAGAGAAGCTTAGCAAAAGCTGAGCGAGCTAACTGGCTGAAGTAATTGGGTTCTTCGGGTTGCAAGTTCGTTATTGGTGAGGTTGATAACAAGTTGTTCCACTGACGCAGTAGAAAGCCATTGGCTAGGACACAAAGTACAATTTGAGCACTTCATTTTTCCCTCAGGTTAAAACAAAAAAGTAGTGAAATTCGTCTCTAAAATCTCCGGGTTATTCCATAGTCAAACTCACTTGCAAGCCAACAGTTATGAACTATTTCTTACCGTCCGTACTTGAAGCGTGTCCAATATGGAACAAAGACGTCAAAGACGTCAGCAAAGACAGGAAAACCTGCGGGCAAACCATTCACATCAGCTACCTTCAATTATCCTCATTTCACTAGAGTTAGATAGACAGATGTAGTTATGAAGCAATGGAGCAATAATTATTTTTGTGAGCCAGAGGATAAGCGGCAAAGATATATTTGATACCAGGATGACTCTAGGTTGCACTTTGGACACAAGTTACCGCGTATAAAATGCGAGTGACATACCTTTTTCGTACGCTTC